CAATATGCGTTTTTGCTGGCTGTAGCAGCGCTGCTATAGCGCTGCACAGCAAAAACGCATAAAAAATCTCTTTTATGGCTACTGGAAAGGGCAAATATATGTCCCCAAGCTGCATCGCCTCGCCAGTCGATGCCACGGACAACATGAACACGTGAAAATGACGCAAAGGCACGTCGTACCCTGATCAAAACAACTGCCTGACCTTTTCCAAAGTTGCGTGACAGTTAGTACATATATAGCCCCTGCTCGCCCCAATCTTGGAGAAAAGGTATTGCTAGGAAGGCTTGCAATACGCGAAAGCACTCTCTGCCGATCCGGCCTCTTTGAAGGCCGCTTCCAAACAGCCAGGCTTACACTAAAGCACCAGCTGGACGGGTCCCTGCAGCGAAGGCTGCAAGTAAATAGCAAAAGCAAGAAATGAATACGTGGTACCATCCATAAAGCCTTCGAAGATCGTCTGAAAATCAGTCCTATAGACTCAAACTCTTCCGCCCCACTTCATAAGCTATAGGTCGCGCTTGCGTGCACATGTGAGCTTCTCTTGCAAACCGCTCAGTCTACCAAAACAAGTCTGCCGGTTCTGAAGGACACTGCTATTTCAGACATATTCAAGGAATACCTTCATAGCAGGTTACCAGATTTCGCTCCTAACACTAAATGTTTCTCGCATTCTTTTTCGCTTTAGCTGCAAATTAACAACCGAGAGCAGGTCGAAGTTGTTCGGCTCAGGAGCAATTGAATGCCGCCAATCCAACGCAGTCCGTCAAGGCAGTGCAAAAAAGCAACGAGTGCAGAACAAAATGCATCACTATGCTGTCCAGTCTGCTTCCGCACGGACAGTTCGACTATTCAAGCAGTGTAACTCCCATCCCTTCCCTCTAGCTTCTGGTTATCATGCAGTTTGCTTTTTATGCGTCTTTGCATATATGCAAATTGCAACTTAGTCGAAAGCGTATCGGCTGCCGGTACGAGGATGCGTTTTTTGCACGGTTCCCCCACAACTGTCAGAAATTATTACAATGAATCCCAATCTATGCCCAAAAAATTCACCGCTCTGGATGCTTCGGTTGCGGAGTTACGCCAAATTTCATGTATTCGTAAATAAGTAGCAACGTGAGTGCTTTCTTTGCTTGCGGTTACTTAAGCACGGCTATGAGTAACGCTCAAGAAGTTTCAGCACTCCAACTGCTCTGGTTGCGAAGTTACGTCAAATTTCACGCATGCACACGTGAAACTTACGTGAGATGTGAAAGTGATGTGTAAGTCGCC